CTTTTGGCTCTCTTAAAGGGGACCTTGTTGAGAGGGTCTATATCCCCAAGCGTCCCCCTAATCCTAGCCTCCCAGTTTCGAGAGCTGAAGTTGCCTCTCGGTTTCGAGAGCTGAAGTTGAGGTTGAGGCTTAGGAAGTTCCCGAGTTTGGAGTGTGGACCTGCAGGAAGCAGGTTTCGGGACTTGTGCATCGCCTGAACATTGACGGCCAGAATGCAAACAGCTTAAAGTCTCCATTGTATTCCTTTTTGGGTTACCTTATAGGATCCTACAATGAACGGTGGAACCCAAAAAGGGAACTACAATGGAGATTATAGGTAGCTAATGTCTCCACAGGCCGGAACCACGTTCGGCAAGAGTTGCTGATACTTGAACGATTTAGGGTTTAGTGACTAGGGATTCAGGGGTGTATTAGGGTTTAGACAGGAGGAATCACGGACATTTCGGACAGGTCCGTTTCAGTTTGAGGTTGTTGAAGGGCGGTGAGACGGCTCCACCTTCACTGAAGCCACTGGCATTGACGACATTGCCTTGATGCGCGATCAGGCCACTTCAGAAGGAGGAGATTTCCGGGACAGCATGCCGTTTGTACACTGCGATGTACTCCGGGTAGACTTGATCGTTGTTGAAAACTACGAACTTCCTGTACGTTCCGCGAGCCTGCTGACGATCTCCCAGGATGGAGTGAGCTTGGCCCTTTTGAATTGTCTGCCGAAGAGCTTCGACATCTGGCTTGACTTCATCTGCGTAGATCCGTTCAGCTTCGCTGCCGAGCATCTGTAGCTGTAAGCACTCTCATCTCATATTTCCCCTGCCAGATCACGCCGCCGCCCTCCCGAAGCCACTTCCATCTGTTGTTGTCTGGAGCCCAACCACAGCCACTGCGCTTGGAAGGGCATTCTCACCTAGGAGACGCACTCCCATTCTAGGATCAAGGTGGATGTTGAAATCTGCAACAGCTGCAGCCTGGCCAAGTTGCTACCTCCAAACAGACTGATACCGATAATCAGAATCTTAGGGGCTGAGTACCCTCGCCCAAAAAAGGCTAACCTTTTGAATTATAGTAGGATTATAAGAGCCCCAAAAGGTTAAAGGTTACCTACTCAGCCACTAAGGAATCAATCTGTCTAGAGGCAGCAACTCGGCCAGGCTGCAGCAGCATGGCTCTTCTGACTGACGATAGGATTCAAGATTATTTTCATGCCGCCCAAACCTGCGTGCGTTGAGCGAATTGTTGGGCAAAGCCCTCTGAGGCAACATTTAAACCAGGCAAGGAAGGCATCCAAAACATGGCCCTTCTGCTACTTCCGTCTGTAAACATCTTGGATTGTCCTTTCCAGTGCATTATCCACACTCCCGCAACAACTTCGGCTTGTTGTCAGAAACCCAACAACAACCAGGAATGATTGCATGTGGAAGGACGTACGCCATTGCAGGGTCAATGTGGATGTTGACATCTGCACACTGGTCGTTGTAATATTCAAAGACCACCTGTGCCGCATATACTGACTACTGCTTCCAGCCAGTTGGAATATGCACTTGATTCGCAAATCGAATGGCGAAAGACGCGCCGCCACCAAGCACGGAGATCTCTGCGGAAAACTGCCTTTCTGGCTTGCTGGCTTTGACCTTGAACTCCAACAACTTGATGCCGCCTCGCTGCGACTTGTCCTCTTTGCTGGGCGGGGCAGCTACTCGCGACTTCGCAGCTGCGCATGCCATGGCAAAAGTGGCTGAGCTTGTCGGGAATGCCGTGGCCTGGCCCCACAGGACTTCCAACGTGAATGCAAGCCTTCCAACACAATCTTGGTATTTTGTTCATAACGAGCTCCCTTCAGAAGCAAACCGCAGATTCGCTAAACATGGCCGCAGGCATTGCAGGATTTGGGGTCTAGCATGCTATTGGGCGTAAGATTTCCATGGATCGAGTACAACAGACATACACTGTTGTCCACTACATGCAGTGCAATTCGCTGACAACAGATAGTGAAATAGTGCTAGCATTTGCAAGGACCTCAAAAACACAATAACAAAAACATTGGTACTATTGATGAGGCTTCTGCAAGTCTTGGCAGAAGTAGAGACGAGAAAATAGCTGAGTAGTAGGGTGCTAGTAGCAGGGGCAGCAACAACCAGGATTTAGGGGTTAAGGTGTCAACATCACCCAAAACCCTGAACCCTACGCAAGGGGATGCAGCAGCATCCTGCCTCAGTGCCCGCACCGCCTGCGGCAATGCTACGGGGTCAAGCGTTCATAAACTAATTACTAAAGGTGGCCTCCGATCTTTCGAAGACGCTTTCGAGGTGTACTGTGCTATCAGTTTGACGGGACTTACGGGGATACTAGTTACTAGTACGACTGATTACTCGACCGCCAGCAGAACTGCAGGGTCCAAGCATGAGGGCATCGAGCTCTTCTTGCTTGTCTCACCTTCTTTAGGGGCCCCCAACCCAAAACATAAGCAGAACAAATAAAATAGGCGTTCTGGACTCCTCCTTTAATTAAGGGGATTCTAAACACACCCCCGAATAGCCTGTTTACGCCTAAAACCTACACCCTAAACACCAAAAAGTTATGTGTTCATTTTGTGTGTCGGGGGCCTCCCACCTGCTGGGCACTGACCTTAAACAGTTCGCATAGGGCTGAAGGGAACTCTACCGGATCTATCAGGATTCTATCCCAACAATGCCGGGGCCTTAACGATTAGAATAGGGTTGTTGGGTGCATTTTACTCTAAATCTAATACGGAACCCCACAAAATAGTATAGGTAATTATTGAGGCCCCTATTTTATGTACTTAAAACCATCCAATCAGGGTTCAGGTGCCATTTCCCGAAACATCTGTCATGGGCGTGATAATGTGTGCCTTACAGCCTACAAGCAGAACATATTGCACCCTGGCACAGTCCTTCTGCGTGATCTCACAAGCGAGTGCCAGTGCAAAACCCGCTTGAACACTCAAGCCGCCGCAACCAGAAAATTACAACTCTTTACACGTGACTTTCTGGTTGTCAGTATTGAGGGGTGCTTCTCGGTACTATCCGCACAAAAACGTTCTCGATGCTCCATGAGACTTATACTCGTACGCATACCACCAGTTTTCAAAAGTGTTACTGACTGCCGACTATTCTTTGTGTGATTCTCGGTTCTTCTTCTTCTCTCGCTCCAAGCACTGCTCTTATTATCTGGGCTGAGAGCGGACAAACAAATTGGCAATTCCGCTGATGATGAAACACCCTGAGAATTCCTAGATTGCGAAACTGCGCCTGCTGCTGTTGGCGCTGCCACAGACCCTGCGTGCACGGGCGACTCGTTGCATAGTCTTGGTGTCTTCGTGGCCTCTAGAATAAGAGGATTCCTATACGATCTAAGAGCTATGTAGGGGTGCCCCTGATTCTGAAACTCCCAGTTTTGACTGGTTAGGGTCGAGAGCACGCTCTTGGCTTGGCGGCGCACCCGATTTCCTGGCTGATACCAAGGGGGGGGGTCGGAATTTGCAAGGCTTCGTAGGGCTTCCTGCTTCTCCTGGGCCGGGCTTCTCTATATGACTCTGATAGGCTCCCTAAACCCTAAACCGTCACGGCAGCTTCGTCGAGTTTGGTGCTTGGGTCTTTCGGCTCCCACCCTCGGCGCATGCAGGCAAGGATACAACGCACAGGTTCTGGTGCGATGTGCACTCTGAAACCTTTCTTTTCCCGAAGGCAGGAGATCAAAGTACTCAAGGACAAAACGGGTCGAGCCATCTAACAACAAAGACACTCGACTGCCGTCAGGCACACAACCACAGGCTCGGCACGACAAACCAACCTGGCAACAGAATCAAAAAAGGCAAACAACAAAAACTGATTTTTGGGATCAGGGCCCCCCTTAAACTCTAAACCTAGTGCCGCACTTGAACGCAGAAAGCTTGATCTGCAAAGATTCTCCCTGCCGGATACAGTAGCCTGCTGAATGCCCTGAACCCGGGCCCAAAACCGAGCCCTTCATGAAACTTTGAACACCAAAGATGAAACCCTAAACCCCAAAGA